GTCCAGGAACTTCTGGTAAAAGAGGTAATTTCCAGAGTTCCCGACGGAGAGGAAAACACAGGGTTTTACTCACATTACTTCCTGGTTCCAAAACGGACCGGAAGAACGAGACCCATTTTGGACCTGTCAGTTTTCAACAAGGCGATCGTGGACAGACCGTTTCACATGTTGACAACCAGACAACTGTTGGACAACATCCAGAGAAACGATTGGTTTACCTCCATCGATCTGAAAGACGCCTACTTCCACATACCGATTATCCCAAAGCACAGAAAATTCCTCTGCTTCTCCTTTCAAGGGATGCAGTACCAATACAACAGTCTGCCGTTCGGTTATTCCCTTGCAACTCGTACGTTCTCAAAGTGTGTGGAGATGGCCCTGCAACCATTACACAGAGCAGGGATGAGAATTTTGTTTTACCTAGACGACCTGTTGCTGCTGTCACGCTCCAGACGGGAAGCAGTGGCGCAGACTCAGGTGCTGACGTCACACCTGCTAATCTGGGCTTCGCCATAAATTGGGAAAAAGCTCGATTCTCCCGGCCCAGACGATTGTTTATCTGGGAGTGGAGCTAAACTCGATCACCATGAGGGCTCGTTTATCACAGACAAGAATCGACACTCTAAAAGACCAGCTCCATCACGTAAGACTTGGCAGAGTGGTAACAGCCATTTCCGTCATGAAGCTGTTAGGAACGATGTCGTCAGCTCACACATTGGTTCCGCTGGGCTTACTCCACATGCGACGCCTCCAGAGGTGGTTTGCTCATCTGCGCGTGGATCTGGTAAAGCAAAAGAGACGGATGATCACTGTTCCTCCCACCGTGAGAACAGACCTCCGACACTGGGAAAAACCCCTGGTTCTGTCGGAGGGAGTCCCCATCAGCAGACCTACATCACAAGTGTCAGTCTTCACAGATGCGTCGCTGTGAGGTGGGGGGGGGGGGGGGACATGCCTATCCCGAGCTGTAGGGGTGCTGTGGCCACCTCACACAACAGCTCATATAAACGTTCTGGAATGTCGCACGGTTCTGAATGTGATTCACCACTTTGCTCCTGTGCTGCAAAATCAACACGTTTTGATTCACACAGACAACAAGGTTACTGCTGCATACATAAACCGGCAGGGGGTGTGTGCGCTCAGCCCAAATGTTACACATTGCGAGAAAATTACTGTGTTGGGCACACCAAAATCTGCTCTCCATCAGAGCAGTGTACATCCCCGGTGTCCTCAACAAGGGGCAGATGTGATGTCCAGGGGCGGTCCGCATCACGGGGACTGGACCCTCCACCCCGATCTGATGGCTCAGACGTGGCAGAAATTTGGCAAAGCAGCTGTGGACCTGTTAGTGACATGGGAAAACGCTCAGTGTCAACTATGGTTCTCACTGAGCCCGCGAGACGAACCACCGCTAGGGGTGGACACGTTTGCTCACAGCCCATGGCCCAAAACGCTTCTTTACACATTTTCCCCACCTCCTCTGATATTACGGTTTCTGAACCGAGTTCAGGAGAAGGGATTAACAGCTCTCCTGGTGGCTCCCGAGTGCGTGAACGCACCATGGTTCCCGGTTCTATGACGCCCGTTATCGGGGCACCCGTGGAAACTGCCGTGGAGAGAGGATGCTCTCCTCCAGGCAGGAGGAGCGATCAGGAGTTACCCAGAAATAGTCCAGCACCTTTGGGTCTGGCCGCTGAGCGGATCCGCTTAGAGAGGATGGGTCTCCCTCAAGATGTAGTGCGCACAATCCAGGATTCACGTGCTGCGTCCACCACAGCGCTGTACACATCAAAGTGGACAGCTTTTCAGCACTGGTGTACGGAGAAAGGTGTAGAGGCCACTTCATGTCTACTAGGTAGCGTGCTGTCCTTTCTGCAGCAGCTGATGGACAGAAATTAGGCATTCAGCACGATTAAAACGTACGCTACAGCCATTTCTTCCTGTCACGAAGGTTCGGGGACTGAACAGCTTTTAATCTTCCACTGATGAAGCATTTTTTTAAAAGGTGTACAGAGACGCAGGCCTGTTTCACGCCCACTTGCTCCACAGTGGGATTTAACGCTGGTTCTGCGAGCCCTGATCAAAGCTCCATTTGAGCCGCTGAATCAGGTTCCAATTAAATTCTTGTCTCTTAAAACAGCCCTGCTGCTGGCTTTAACATCCACTAAGACGGTGAGTGATTTATCTTCCCTCTCTGTCGCTCCATCATGTCTCAGAATTCAGGCTGATGGAAGCTCAGCTGATCTGAGACTTAATCCAGCTTTTATGCCTAAAAACATCACGAGCTCTTTTAAATCAAGAGAGATATCGTTGGAGGGTCCCCCCCCACACACACACACACAAATCAGAAGAAGAAGCATCTTTTCATCTTCTTTGTCCTGTGCAGGCGTCGACGTGTTACATAGCGCGCACGGCCGCAATGCGTCAAACTCAACATTTGTTTGTGCATTATAGACATGCATCTGCAGGTCGCCTGTTATCCACCTAGCGCCTGTCACACTGGCTGTGTGAGGCCATTTCTGAAGCCTACATAGCGTCAGATTTAGAGCCTCCTGACAACCTCGGGGCACAGGTATCGCATCTTCGACTGCTTTGCATAATGGTATGACAATGTAGGATATTTACACTGCGGCCACGTGGTCAACACCCTGCTCATTTATTCGCTTTTATCTACGTGATGTGACGGCTCGTTCCATGACACATTCTGTCCTTAGTGCTTTAACAGAATGACAATTGTTGTTTCATGGAACCTCGTTCAACTCGCATCTGACTGCATGCATTTCAATTAAATTAAATTAAATTAAAAAATACTTTATTAATCCCAAAGGGAAATTATTTGTTGTTGTAACTCGTTATCCTTATTTCATTAAGAGATGTTATAGATGCTGATGGCTGTAGACAGGAAGGATCTCTTGTAAAGGTCCATCCCACAGTGGATCCTACGAAACTGGCTGCAGATGCCGTCCGATCCGTCCACCCAGACTCGGCTGGCCTCTCGGTTCCCCCGGGCTGTAGGACCGCCCGAATGCCGGGCAGAACTCCTCCCAGAGTGATGATCACTCCTCCCAGCAGTTTGCCGAGCTCCTTGTTGCTGTGGACAGCCAACTGTAGGTGCCGAGGGACAATCCTGTCCTTCTGCTGTCATGAGCCATGTTTCCTGTTAGTTCCAGGATCTCAGTGGTCAGGCACTCGAGCACAGCTGGCAGGTAAATGAGAATGTGTCCACAGAACATCCTTTCAACTCATTTGAGATTTGGGGCTGTAGTTGAGATATTATTTGAGCTTTTCAGATGTTAATCCGCTGCTGTTGGTTGTAGAAAACGTCTTGTTGCCATGGTTACGCATCATAACAGATGTCCAAAACTAAAAATGTTCAAGTAAAAATCCTTCCAGCTGCACAGCATCAGATACCAGAGGAATCAATCATCCAGAAAAATGTGAATTACATCCAGAAAAAGAGGAATTAAAGTTTCCTAAACCAAAATCTCAGAGTGAAAGTAACAGAGCTGCTCCAACATGCAGCCACCTTGAGAGGCGCAATTCTAGAACATTTACAGTGTGAGATGTTATCAGTCACAAGTTGTGACTGTTGTTCTGGTTCTATTGTCACTAATCAGTTCATGACTATTGTTACCAATCAGTTAATTTGATTAATAATCAGTTCTCTGGTTATTATTAATCTGTTCATATTGATCAGCCGTGAATCTGTTTGGTTCACAGCCTTTTTTTCAGCGTCTTTCTTTCCCCGTTGAAAGCTTTCCGGGGCGCTCATGCACTCAGAACGCATAGCTACACAGCACGCGTCTGTGCATGGTACGCATAATTACACAACGTGTAATTACGCACATGGAGAGCTGAGTGACAAGACGTTTTTGGGCAAGCTGCCGCTTCGTATGGTGTTCGAATGGACCCAGTGAGGTGAGGACTACATCTGCTTCGCCCGTAACCCACTAAGCGACAGCTCTTAAAGGGCAAAGCCTATACGAAATAGAACGTTGGTTACATACTGTAACCCCAGATTCTATGAGTATAGGCGTAGCCCTTTAAGCGCTGGGCCTCACTGGCTCCTAAATGGCTGAAGAAAAAGCTATTTGGGAGCCGATTACCTGCTCTTAATGTAATTTATACGGACCGGGTGGGGCCCACACAACAGGTGGGCGTGGACTAAATTTTTCAGTGGGAGGCTTTGCATGACGGGATAAAACCCACTAAGCGACAGCTCTTAAAGGGCTACGCCTATACTCATAGAATCTGTGGTTACAGTACGTAACCAACGTTTCACTTTCTGAAACGATTGACAGAAATATTGAACTTTTTCATGATATTCTAATTTTTTCAGACGCACCTCTAGATTTCAGTTCAATTCAGTTTATTTCTGTAGCTCCAAGTCACAACACAAGTCTTCTTCTCAGGACACTGTACAAAAGCATTCATACATAAAAAAAGCCAATTATTAAAAGTTATCAATCTAAGGAAGGAAGATGATGTATCTAACAAGGTTGAGTCAGGTTCTCTGGACGGATTCTTCTAGTTGCATTCTCAAATTAAAATCTGAGTCAGATGTGACACCTTGTGTTTGCTTATTTCATAGTGGAACAATATATGAATTTATGACTCACTGATAAGAGCAAACTAAGATCTGTCTGAAAAATGAGCTTCGAAACAGCTGAGTTTCTTTGACTTCATCATGTGTGGGTGTTCATTTGTCTGTACTGTTACACATCACTAAACGCATTTGAAGAAAACAAACAAAATACTGGATGTACATCTACACCTGCTTAACTTTCTTGAAAGATTTGGGATGTGTGTCCTGCTCCATTTGATGTGAGCAGTTAACATAAAACAAGCTCTTTTCATTTTGAAACATCTTCAAATTTATTGTAAGAGGTGAAATGTTATTTATTAGTACTTGTATTGGTACTCACTATTGGCAAGTATTCAAATGAAAGTACTTGAAAAAGATGTGCGTCCCTACTGAATTATTTTGTCCTTCCTTTTAGGTAAATGTTGGTAAGATGGACTCTCCCATAGAGAAGTGGAATCTAATCATTGGCAACCTGGCACTAAAGCAGGTAATCACACATTTGTTGCTTTAAATTGTTTTCATTGTTTCTTTTTCTAAAAAAAAAAAAATTAGTTGGTGCCACAGTTCTTATTTCTATTAGTTTGTTGTTGTTTCTTTGTTCTGCTGCAGCCTAACTGTGTTTTCATGTGTTGCAGTGTTTGTAACTTTTTTACTCTGTTTGGTAGGGAGGTGGTAGCTAGCATAACAGTCTCAGCTAAAGTTATTATCATGCATGCTGGACTGTGGGACAAACCCCAAGAACTTAAAGAAAACACACACTTCTGGTCAAAACAAGCAGCAGAAAGACCCACACTGAGAGTCATACTGGTGACCTTATTCCTAGCCCTCATGATGCCTTGCTGAATTATGGATGCAACTCCTGGCGCATACCAGAACCGGCCTTTGTTTATGTGTGAACAGTGCAAACTCATGTAGTTTCTCTGATCATTGTGGATTTAATTTAAACATGTAGGAACACCACCTGTCAAAGCTCAGACAGGACAGTATCATCATCTCTGCCTGCTGAGGACGAGCTGAAGAAGTGGCTGCAGATTGATTACATCTATTAGCATATTTAGCTACTTCATTAACTCAGTTCTTCTGATGGTGAAGTGATGAACAACCTGAAAAGCTCTGAGGTGTATTAGTGTCTACACAGTAATAAGGTCGGTTGTGTTTTGTTAAAAGAGGTGGGACACAATCTGATTGACCTTAAAGCAGACATAGAGCCAGCCAAAGTCTTAAAGTCCTCCATCACTGAGCTTGGGTTAATCATAGAGAAAATCATAAAACTGAAGATGAACAAATACTATAAAGCTGTGACCTCAATACACTTGAATCAAACCTGATGTTCTCATTACTGTTTTCAATTATTCTAAGGATCCAGCGTCTCTTCTCTGGTGGTTTATTGTAGTCCATATACAAAAGAAGGATGCAGGTTTTCCTCCGTCGGCCGTTTGTTAACAAAGTGAAATGAGCTCACATACAGAGTTTTGGGTGGTCGCTTCAAGTTCACATTTTCAGACACATTTTTCTTAATTCCTCATCTGTAGGGAGGAGATGGAAACTACAGTATACCTCTTTTCACAGGATCTCTTTTTTTTTTTTGGGTCCATGTTCAAACTGTCGTTGTAGCCACTGATTCAGTTTGGTCTGTTTGTTCTGCAGCCATGAACACAACAGGTACCTGAACTCAGCACGGCTATTTCAGTAAACTTTATGGTTGTTACATAAATGTAACCAAAAACAGAGTTTTATCTGCTAAACTGAATTCAAATTACTTTCAAATAAACCACGGTCTGTGCTCCACTACCATGGCTAACCAATGCTTACTGCCAAAAAAAGTCCATGCTCAATAATCCAGGTACACAATCCAACAATTTTCAGTCAGGTCATCTGGACAGTTTCTTTTTTTGCTGAAACGTGTCACCTTCCATCCAGAAGGCTTCATCAGTCAAAGCAACACAAAACTGATTCTTCCCCCAACAGCTTACTCCACAAAGTGGAACAAACCAGTTATGTTGGTGTTAAGATGGTCTCTTTCGTACGCCCCCTCCTCTGGAGCCGGCCCTCTTCCTCGTCGACAGTTGTGTCAAACTGGTTCAAAACCAAAAAAGGTCCATGCTCAATAATCCAGGTATACACCATCTTAGCACCAACATAACTGGTTTGTTCCACTTTGGAGTAAGCTGTTTTTGGGGAAGAATCAGTTTTGTGTTGTGTGTTTCCTTGACTGATGAAGCCTTCCGATGGAAGGTGAAATGTTTCAACAACAACAACAACAACAAAAAAGAAACTGTCCAGATGACCTGACTGGAAATTGTTGCAATGCTTACTGCCACTTCCTTTGTCTGACAGGCAGTTGTACCCATAATCATCAATACAGTAGAGCCCCCATGAATGGTAAATGGACTGTACTTATATAGCGCCTTTCTATCTTATTTCAAGACACTCAAAGCTCTTTACATTACAATCTGTGTCCTCATTTACCCATTCATACAGCACTCTACTACATCTCTACAAAGCTAATTGAATAAGAATAAGGTGGATAGTAGAATTTACATTTCTTGTTTTAAAATAAATAGGATTAAATAATAAACAGGAGTCTGCAGCACATCTAAGCACTTTTTTAAGCTATAATGTTTCCACTACGCTCTTTATGATCGGTTAGAATTCACCTGATCATGGCAAATAAAATAAAAAAATCTAATTGAATCCTTAGCTATTACAATGCTGCTACACTCTTAGTCGCTAAATATGTTTCCTGCTATTTTCTGCATGCTTTCACTGAGTTGCTTTCATTGGCCCTTATCAAGCTCTGCACATTAGGAGGATATGCTACCACCTACGTTAATGATCACTCCACACCTCGAGCATGGTTCTCTGGACATACAAGCTAGAAGATCTTACTTAAATCACCATAGTACTACTGACACGGCATTCTGTCTGCACTGGGTTGTGCCAATAACTCTTCTGCTGCAGCAGCAAGAGCGACTTTAACCCAAACTTCTCCAGCTTCATGTGCACATCTCTAGCTTAGACATAGAAGAACTTCCACACTGGGGCTACTGTTACCAGAAGTGTGCATGTGATCATCCTGTCACAGCTTTTAAACCGTACGTGAAGCTCAGTTATGTAAGTGCACAGAAGTGCACATAACTGCATTCGCAACAAAATCAGGAATGCGTAGTATCACCTATTACCACACGCCTTTGTGTACTTGACCGAGTTATCAGCACAGTATTTCCTGGTGGGCCGGTCTGATGTGTGGGCTGCAGGGCTGGCGCTCCCTGTTTTTTTTTTTTAAAGAACTTTTTATTAACAACATTAAAACTCAGATCACCGCTGTACCTGGGCTACCCTACCTCGACCTAGGGCCGGCGGGCGGCGGCAGTGTTTTTTTTTTCACAAGTCGGATCCGTGACACAATCTGTCAATCAATCCAGTAGGCGTGTCAGCAACTGACCAATCGACTACCTCAATTTGTCCCGAAGGTAAACGCCCCTTCTCTGCAGATGCAGTCCATCAGTTTTTTTTTCTAGAACTTTACTAACAACACAAAACAAGAATGCAACAAGATACAAATACTAAATCGTGATTGGTGTCTGCCCTCACCCACACCTCCTCCAACACCTTTCAGGGGTTCACCACAATCCCTAGACATCAACCCCCTCCTCATCATCATAATGGACCCCAGCTGCAACCTGCTTCACCTAACACCCCTCCCTCTCTACCATCGTTGCCTCCAATCATCATCAGCAGGGAGGCTGTGAGGACAGAACTCAACAGTCTACGTCCAAACAAGTCTGCATGTCCAGATGGATTAAGCCCCAAACTCCTGAAAGGATGTGCGGCTCAGCTGTGTGATGTTTTTCGGCACATTTTTCACCTGAACCTGAGCATGAGGGTGGTTCCTGCTCTGTGGAAAACAACATGCCTGGTCCTGGTGCTGAAAAATAACCATCCAAACTCACACAGTGACTACAGACCTATGGCCTTGACATCACATGCCATGAAGTCTCTGGAGAGGCTGGTTCTGAATCACGTCAGATCAGTGGTGGAACCATGCCTATACCCCCTACAGTTTGCATACCAGCCACGCATTGGAGTTGACGCCCTCATCTACCTGCTGCACAGAGCCTACATGCACCTGTACAAGGCAGGCAGGACTGTAAGAGTCATGTTCTTTGACTTCTCCTGTGCTTTTTAACACCATAAGACCTGCTCTACTCTGCAGTAAGCTCCTGGACATGCAGGTGAATGACTCCCTGGTCACTTGGATCAGAGACTACCTCACTGGTCAGCCACAGTATGTGAGGCTGCAGAACACCTCTGACACCATACTGAGCATCACAGGGGGTCCTGTACAGTCTTCTCGCGGTTTCTGTTCACCAACTACACCTCGGACTTTAGGTATAACTCACAATCCTGCCATCTGCAGAAGTTCTGGATGACTCTGCCATTGTGGACTGCATCACTGGTGACCAGAAAGCTGAAATCCACAGGAGCTGAGAAGGACAAGGAAAGAACTGGTTGCTGGTATTAAGAGGGCCAAGGCCACATATGCACAGAAGATCAAGGGTCAATTCACCTCACAAGACCCACGGAGCATGTGGAGGAGCATTAAGTGTATAACAGATTATAAAAGCAGGAGCGAACAATGCCCCAAAGACCCATCACTGCCTGATGCCCTCAACAAGTTCTACGCACGCTTCGAAGACCCGTACAGACCACCCAGTGCCAGACTCACCTCACCACCAGATGAAGAGCTTCTCAGCATGACCCCAGCAGAAGTAGTTCAATTCAGTCTATTTATATAGCGCCAAATCACAACAAAGTTGTCTCAGGACACTTTACAGGAACATTCACATACATAACAAAGCCAATTAGTAAAATTCTCTATCTAAGGAGGCCAGCAGACAAGTTGAATCTTGGCTTCATTGCGGTCTCCCATCCTGAGCAAGCACAGTGGCAACAGTGGAAAGGAAAAACTTCCTTCTAAAAAGAAGAAACCTCCAGCACAACCAGGCTCAGGACAAGCGGCCATCTGCTTTGACCGGCTGGTTGGGAGGACAGGAAGGAGAGACAGACGAACATAGAATGGTAGGTCCAGATATAGGCCCAAATGTCCGTGAAAGACAAAAACACATGTTAAGGATAGAAAAAATAATTACAAATACAAAACAGGTTGAGCAGAGTAAGTAAAGGCAGTAGCAGAGTGAAAAGTAAATGGTAAATGGACTGTACTTATATAGCGCCTTTCTATCTTATCGAGATACTCAAAGCGCTTTACACTACAATCTGTGTCCTCTTTTACCCATTCATACAGCACTCTACTAGATCTCGATGTAACCAGAGTAATTTTCTCCATTTCTATCAGAATAATTTCGTTATTTATTATAATAGTATTTTTCCCCCTTACATTTTATTTTTCTGTGGTTGAAATTAGGTTCCCAAGAAGTAATTTCTTAAAGA